AGCTTGCCACAGCCGCCATCTAGGCGACTAAGTCCAGGTGTTACTCATAGCTATGCTACTTCTCCTCCTTAAACATATGGAGTGTGCCCCAGCCGTAGCTGGGCTCACAAGGACTCACTAAGACGCCAGGCCCTGAGGTGTGGAGACAGTAGCTGAGATAATCTTGGATTTTTTCTCATAGAGAAAATTTTACTTTATCCTACTGGACACTTGTTGGACCAGTGAAAATCCTGATTCTTATTCCATTAACTAAACAAAAGGGGGGAAATGTGGGAATATATGCCATTTAAACATGGCTGCACTATTGACAACTGCAGCCCCCACAGGCCTCTATGCTGCACAGCATGTTGAGACTTGTCCCTAACATGTTGAGACTTGTCTCCAATATGTTGAGACTTGTCACGAATTGTTTTCCCAAACCTATTGTCCCTTTACTGATTGGCTTGTTTACCTGAATTCCTTCTCCCTTGCCCACACCCAAAGCCCATTGTTTTGTTAATTGCTTTATTGCTTGCTGTATTGACTATAAAATAAACTCCTGGGACTGAAGTGGGGTTCGACTCCTCAGAGTGACCCTCCTGGCCCCACTTCTCTGTAAGAGTTGTGGCATGGTTACTGTCTCCGCCGCTCACTGCGACATCACATAACAATGTATGCATAAATTTTTGTATGAGAGACTAACTTGAATCATAAACTTTCACTGAAAGCACAATTAAAAAAAGAATGTTCCACGTAAAAAAAAAAAAGAAAAAGAAAAAAAATTCATTGTTTATCTGAAATTCAAATGTAACTGGACCTTCTGGTTTTGTGTGTGTTTTTTTGTTTTCTAAATCTGGCAATCCCAGTTACCATACATGCTGTTTGGGACCCAGTTGGCATCTCTCTCCTCTAGTACCTAGTTTCATAAAAGAGACTCAGAACTACTGGCTGTAAGGAGACAGACAGGTCAATGAAATGTACCTGTTCAGGGGTTATGGGTCACAGTTTTTAACTTGTTCAACTCTAGTCACAACAGTCTTCCATTACCCTCTGCCTTAGTTATCTAGTGCTGCTATAACAGAAATACCACAAGTGGATGGCTTTAACAAACAAATTTATTTTCTCACAGGTTAGGAGGCTAGAAGTCTGAATTCAGGGTGCGAACACAGGGAAAGGCTTTCTCTGTCTGTAGGCTCTGGGAGAAGGTCCTTGTTATCAATCCTGCCTTGTCTAGGAGCTTCTCAGCACAGGGACCCCGGGTCCAAAGGGTGTGCTCTGCTCTCAGCTCTTCTTTCTTGGTGGTATGAGGTCCCTCTCCTCTCTGATTGTGTCTCTCCTTTATATCTCAAAAGAGACTGATGCAAGATACAACCTAATCCTGTAGATTGAGTCCTGCCTCATTAACATCATAGAAGTTAGGACTTACAACATCAGATCACAAAATGATGGACAACCTGACAATACTGGGAATCGTGGCCTAGCCAAGTTGACACACATTTTTGGGGGACACAATTCAACATATAACACCCTCCACCCCTGTCCCCAAAGCCAGATTCTCTTCCAAACCAAAGCAATCAAAGGTTTCTCCATTTCTTACCTGGAAGCGAATTCCCAGGTGGCAAAAACAAGTGACTGTGAGGGAAAAGGAGATGAGTTCTGAAGAAAGATGCTAGCAAAATGAGGCACAAGAAGGAGAGAATAATGGTAAAGACAATAAAACACCAGCCAGTAAACAAATATACTCCCCGAGAGTATGGCCCCTGGACACCCTTATAGCTCAGTAACGAAGTCAGTCCTGAGGTTCACCCTTCAGCCAAAGATTATGCGGGCCCATAAAACAAAACATGACTAAATAGGCACACGAGCCCAGGGGCAAGGGCGAGAAGGCAGGAGGGGACAGGAAAGCTGGTAATGGGGAACCCAAAGTCAAGAAGGGGAGAGTGTTGACATGTAGTGGGGTTGGCAACCAATGTCACAAAACAATATATGTATTAATTGTTTCATGAGAAGCTTGTTTGCTCTGTAACCATTCTTCTAAAGTACAATTAAAAAAATTAAAACAAACAAAAAAAAGATTAGACAGGTCTATAAACCAAAGTGAAGAACGTGCTTCTTAGTTTAATCAAGTATATGAGACCAAATGGGCAACACCTTCCCAACAGCAAAGACAAGAAAGCAGAAAGGAACAGGAAAACTGGAGGAATGGACACGGAGAACCTGGGATGGAAACGGAAAGGGGGAGAGTGCTGACACATTGCAGGGACTGCAACAAATGTCACAAAACAATTTAGCATATAAACTTTTGACTAAGAAGCTAATTTGTGCTGTAAACTTTCATCTAAACCACAGTAAAATTAAAAAAATAAATATGCCAGGGGGAGGAAGTAAGAATTCAAGCTTGGGGATGGAGTAAATTATTTTAGCCTTCAAACTCACATGCTACTCCCCTCCACTTCCCTGCTCACATTCACATAGTCAAGAGTGGAAGAGCAAAGATTAGATAGGAACTTTAAGGGACAGTGAATTAATGTTAATGGGGGAGGAACTACTCAGAAAAGGAGGGTGAGAATGGTTGCACAACTCCAAGAATGTAATCAATATCACTGAATGCTACATATAGAAGGTGTTGAATTGGAGCATGTTTTGCTGTATATATTCTCAACAACAATAAAAAAATTTTTTTTTTAAAAGTAAAAAAGCATGGCTGAGGGAGAACTAATGGTGATTATGAGTACAGAGGAGAGTGTTACGCATTTAATTGTGTCCCCCAGGAACATGTATTGTAAATTACCTAACTTTATTAAACCTCATTTTCCTCGTGAAATGGGATTAATGTGAGGATTAGACCTCATAGCATTGTTGGAAGGTTAAACAAGCTAACATACATAATGTGCTTATAACACTGCCTGGAACATAGTGAATACCATGTAAACATTATCTAATATTCATTGGTGCTTATCTCATCTGATCTGTCTATAACGTGTGGCACTGCTGACAACAACCTTTTAATAGAAACTCTCCTCCCTTGGTTGCTATGACCCATTTTTTGTTTGTTTTCCTCAAAATTTGCTGGCTGCTGCTTCTTATTCTCTATCCTGGTCTCCTTGCTTCTCTCCATACTTCAAACTAAAACAAAATTATCTAAACAGTTTAAACTTGAGGATAGTTGATTTACTCTTACGTTTAAAATTCTAGGAGTGGCTTCCCCTTTTCCTACAAGATAAAGTCCATTCACCGAAACCACATTCAAGTATCTCTGCAACTTATTTTCCATTTCCTATTCCAGAGTCACCTTCAACCAACTCTTCTGTTGTATTCCTTCAAGCATCACCTCATCTCCTCCAGAGTCTTTTCTGACCCTTTCCTAAACAAAGCCTTACCTAAGTACTTCTCTATGTTCCTAGGCTACCTTAAAAAATTTCTACCTGCTGTCTCCATTCTAGACTGCCAGCAGTTAAGAGCAACAGGACTGAGTCCTAACGGTCTTTAAATTCCTAGTACCCACCATAATGCCAGACGAATTAAAAGTGCTCAATAAATGTTTGTTGAGTGAATAAAACATGAACAAAATGAAGACTTTCCTTGGGCCAATGTCTCTTGAAATAAAAGGTTGAAGAGTTCAATTCAATGTTATTGAGACATTGTTACATGCAATACAGGAATCAGAACCCAAACCAAAAAAACCAAACCTGTTACCGTGGAGTCAATTTGACTTATAGCAACCCTACAGGAGAGTAGAACTGCCCCACATGGTTTCCAAGAAGTGGCTGATGGATTCAAACTCCCCACCTTTTGGTTGGTTAGCAGCTGAGCTCTTAACCACTGCGCCACCAGGGCTCTGAATGTGTGATCTTGGGCAAGTTACTTAACCTCTCTGTACACTAGTTTCTTCCTAGATAATAATAACACATACAGAATTTTTGTTCCAATTAAGTGCTTGTAAAGTGATTTGAATAGTGTCTGATGCATACTACACTCAAGTTATTATTTCAGATATTGAGAAGACCCTGGTGGTGTATGTTTTGCTGTGTAAATTCTGAACAATAAAAATAAAATAAATTATAAAATTAAACAAAACAAACAACCGAAGACCCTGGATGGAACATTTTGGCCTTACTGATAAGTTTTCATTAAAAACAAACACGAAACTAAAATAAGCTCCACCGGGGAGGAATTCCAGAAGTAGCGGGCCAGAACTTAATCTTCAACTGAAAGACCCATCTCCTGATTATGCTCTCTCTGTTCCCCTAACTCCAACACTTTAATCACAATTCAAGTCCTTGGCCACACTAACCAGGCTTTAGTCTATACTTAGTACTCAGACACCATACGGTATCTGAGAGCGTTTTAAAAACTTTTTTTTCATTGAAAAACTGAGCCAGTAGAATAAATCTCCATATGTATAAACCGTTGGCCCTGAAGGAAATCTCAGTTTTGCTTCACCTCACACGTAGATTATTACTCTTAGCTGAGTCCAGCCAAGAAACAAGTCAGGAATCACCGGGCAACCTCCTGAAATCAGAGCAGCCCTTTGCCCTGTGCACTTGTCTCCACCCACACAAGGCCGCCACCCCTTTCAAAGCATTTCCCATCTCGCTCGCCACCTCTTTAGTGACTGAGCGCTCCCGGTGTGCTTCGAAATCCTCCGTCTTCTCCAGATCCTCCATCTCTCCTCCACCCCGGTGGTGTTTTTCTTAGGGTCGGCGGCATCCATCTCTATGGTGCTAGGCCTAGCTTGATTCCTCAACTCCCTCGGGGAAAGAGAACAGAAGCCATAAACTAAACAACCAGGCTCTAGGAACCGTTTCTTCTGGAACGAGGTAATTGCGAACGGACACCTTTAGCCCCCGCCCTCCGCCCCGACGCTCCCACAGCCCCCGAGCGCAGGCGCTCCCGGGCCCCGCCCCTTTCGGGAGGCTCGATCCTATTGGCCCAGAGGCATGGGGCGCGCGCTAGTCGCCGTAGTAGAGCAGTCATGTGACTTGCGGGGGCGGGGCGGCGCCGGCCGCTGCTCTGCTAGCTAGAGAGGGCTTGCGTAGCCGGCTTTCTCGGCTCTTAAAGCACCCAGCGGGCGGCCTAGCCCTAGCTCCCCTCGCAGATGCGCATGGAGGAAGTAGCTTTTCGCTCCCGTTAGGGCCCCCAGGTCCGCTTTCCTCCTCTTCCCTAAGCTGGGCCCTTAGGGCCACCGCTGCGGAGCCTATGGCCGCCGGGAAGCCTAGATCCGACTGTCCGGAGAGTAACCGGAAGTGCTGTCCTTAGCTTAAGGGGCGGCGCCGGCGGCTGCCCGGGTAAGCTCGGCCCTCCGGGTCCGGGAGAGGCGCGGCCTGTGGGTCCTGGCGGTGGGGAGGAGTGCGGCCCGGACCCGAGACCCTCGGGGTATGCCGGATGGGAGCATCCCCTACCCTTCGCGCCCGAGTGGGATCTGGGCCCCCTGACGGCGGACGGGCGACTGAAAGGCGATCAATGAAAAGTTGAAGGGAAGCTTTGCGTGGTTGTTACTGGAGATAATAATAGTAAACACTGCTGAACACTTTTTTTTTTTAATGTTGGAAAAAACAGGGACGTCGAGTGGAGTTTGCTCCCGTCCCATCTTTAATGCAGCAGTTTAGTTATGTTTCAGTGGAATCTGTATGCAGAAGAATCTGGTTTAAATAAACCACTCCGCGGTTATTTTTGGAAAGTGAATTATATATAGCTTTGTGTTATATACTTACCACAAACACCATGAGGTTTATAGTTGTAGAAGAATGGGTCCTTGACTTTAGAAGTTGAGGTAATATAAACAAAAACAATTAGTAGAAGGGGGAAAATTAGACAAGAAAAACAGGGCTCAGGTTTCTGTTATGAAGTTAAACTTAGTCATTATCCAGTAGAATTCCTCATGTTTTGTCTAGAGCCAGGTCAAGAAGGAACTGATTGCTACCAGTGACAGGTACTTCTTGCAGGAGAAACAAATGTAAGCAAAGTAGAAAGAGGGAAAATGTGGTTAAGGATGTTGACCAGACTGTCAAGTAAATGGGACCAATATTATATGTCCAGCTCCACCAAAAGTATAAATTTCAGAAAGGCATCTTCCACATTGTTGATTTTTCTTCTAGGAGAGGGAAGAATTGAATGCTGTGAATGCTTCTGGACTAGAGACCTTTTGGAACTAAAGGGAAGACAGTCTTGAGTCTGTCTTTTTAAGGTAAGTGGCATACCAAGCTGTATTTTTCTATGTGAATGGTGGGTTGAGGGGTTGGGATAGGGCAGTGGAGGGAGGAAGCCGGGAAACGGGAGGAGATGCATGAAAAAGGGCCCTTTCTTAGTTCCTAAGACAGCAATGATAAAACTGGGCCCTATTCTACAGTTTAAGTCTATTTTGCACTCCTTTTCAATATGCATACTCACAGTCTTAGCAACGAGATTCTGACCATGGCTTTGGGTGTTACAGAGTAGAACTGCTTCATAGGGTTTTCTTGGTTGCAATCTTTAAGGAAACAGTTCAAGCCTTTCTTCTTCAGAGCTGCTCTGTGGGTTGCAACTGCCAACCTTCAGATTAACAGCGCTCGAAGTCATGTTAGGTGCCGTCAAGTTGGTTCTACGTAAAACAGAACGGTATGCTGCCCAGTCCTGCACCACCCTCACAATCGTTGTTATGCTTAAGCCCACTGTTGCATCCACTGTGTCAGTCCATCTCATTGAGGGTCTTTCTCTTTTTCGCTGATCCTCTGCTTTACCAAGCCTGATGTCCTTTTCCAGGGACTGATCCCTCCAGATAACATGTCCAGAGTATGTGAGACGAAGTCTCGTCATCCATGCTTCTAATGAGCATTCTGGCTGTACTTCTTTCAAGACAGATTTGTTTGTTCTTGTGGCAGTCCGTGGTGTATTCAGTATTCTTCACCCACACCATAATTCAAAGACGTCAATTCTTCTTTGGTCTTCCTTATTCATTGTCCAGCTTTCCCATGCATATGAGGCAGTTGAAAACACCATGGCTTGGGTCAGGTGCAACTTAGTCTTCAAGGAGACATTTTTGCTCTTTAACACTTTAAAGAGGTCTTTTGCAGCAGATTTGCCCAATGCAGCGTGTCATTTGATTTCTTGACTGCTGCTTCTATGGATGTTGATTGTGGATCCAAGTAAAATGAAATCCTTGACAACTTCAATCTTTTCTCTGTTTATCATGATGTTGCTTATTGGTCCAGTTGTGAGGATTTTTGTTTTTTATGTTGAGGTCTAATCCATACTGAAGGCTGCGGTCTTTGATCTTCATCAGTAAGTGCTTCGAAATAGGCTTGCAGTAATTGCTTCTTGATTGAGTTCCCACCTAAAGAAGGTATTATGCCCAGTGGTTAGGCAGACAAATGTAGAGATGTAGATTTAAATCCTGGCAGTGCTACTGACCAGCTGTGACTTCTTGGGTGATTTATTTAACTGCCCTAAACATCAGATTTTTAATCTGTAAGGTGGAAACATTGTTATTAATACCTATTTTACAGGATTCTTGGGAGGATTAAATGAGATAATCATGTAACAAAGAGATTGTACCCAGCCTAGGGCCTGATAAGTAAGCATTATCTAGTTTTTTGATAATGCTTTATTGATTTTGCCATCTTGTCCCATACATCCTTTAAGTGTTAGGATAACCTTGAGCTGAGTGCCTTCTCTGAAGTTCTATGACTTAGCCTGTCTGCTTAAACTTTTATCACTTGTTTGTTGTGTACGCTCTGATCCTAGGCAGGGAAGAAAGTACCAGTCTCTTCCTAGTTGGGGTAAGAGAAGCTTCCTGGAGAAGGGGACCTTGGAGCTAGGACTTGAAGTATCCTTGAAGTACTTGAAGTATTTAGGTTTGCCACATGGATCAGCCAGGGGCTCCTGGCCTAGCCTGTCTTTTGTCACTAGCATTTATTCATTCCTTTTTTCATTCGTTCAACAAATGTATTCTAGATGCTAGGGATATTACATTGAACAGAAACTGTCTTACTCCTAATGGAATTTATTTCCTAGTAGAAGAGGCAACTAAATGAACAGATATGAACTATACACCACAAAGTTGGATGGGGATAAGTGCAGTGAATAAAATATAAAAGCAGGGTAAAAGGATATAGACACTATTTTAGATAAGGTAGTCACCTATGTGCCTGTCTTTGAGGAAGTAATTTTCAGGCAGAGACTTGAATCACATAAAGAAGCAAGCTATCTGGGAAAAGAGCATTCTAGGCAGAAGGGACAAGTGCAGAGGCTCTAAGGTGGCTTGTGAGAAAGATAGGCAGAGCTCCCAGATTATGTAGAACAGCAGAGATCACTAAAAATTTTGGATTTTATTCTTAGAGTGATAGGAAGCAATTAGAGTATTTTGAACTAGGGAAGTATCAAATTTTACTATGAGGTTGAACAGTCAGAACTGTGTTCTCTAGGTACTGACATCTCAAAACTTAAATATGAATAGAAAAATGATTTCCTTATTTTTAAGAAATTTTCTTTTTTGTGTCCAATACTTTGTTGGCTGTTTTTGCCAGATATGATACCCTGGACTGATAACTTTAGGGAACAATTTGATTGATGCAACAGGTTATGACCAAGCTCAGAATTCTTTATTTCTACTCTATTCTCCATTTTACCTTAGTAATAATACACATTTTAAAAGTGTTCTCATAAGCCCACCATCTTATCCCAGCTATTTGTCCAAATGTCCATACCTACTTGCATTTCTTTTCTTAGTTGTGATTCTGGTTTAGCATTCTATTTTTTCTTAACATTTCTCCGTATAATTCTTTTTAGTTTTTGCATAATCTTCATATCAATCATCACTGGATGAATTATTATTTATTATTATTTTAAATGTAATCTGAATAAGGTTTTATACAAGAGGCAGGCACAGAGGATGAGCTTAGTAAATGTTAGTGTGTTTGTGCATGTGAAGTGGAGCTAAAATAATACACTAGTTGCCATCAGGTCGATTCCAACTCATAATGACCCCATGTGTGTCAGAGTAGAACTGTGTTTCATAGTGTTTTCAGTGACTGATTTTTTGGAAGTAGGTCACTAAGCCTTTCTTCCGAGTGTCCCGGGTAGACTTGAACTGCCAAGCACGTGAACTGTTTACATCACCCAAGGAGTCCAAGGAAATAACACAACCTACCGTTTATTGAGCACCCTCCCAAGACCCAAGTTGAGCTGAGTGCTTTACACACCGAGGCTCAGGCCTCATAGCAACTCCATGAGGCATGTAACATGCCTATTTTATCAAAGGGAAAATTGAAGCTTAGGAAGTTTAAGTAGCTTACCCAAGTTATCACAGCTCCAGCTAAAATCTGATTCCAGACCTTGAACTTTTAATCACCATGATATTTCAACCCTCAGCCACCATGTCCTTTAAAAAAATAAAACAAAACAAAGTTTTTAATTCTGAAGTAATTTCAGATTTACAGAAAAGTTACAAATAGTACAAAGAATACCCACATACCCTTCACCCAGATTCCCTAAATGTTAACATTTTACCACTTTTGCTTTATGATTCTGTCTCTATATATGCACATACACACTTGTGTACATTATCTTTCTGAACCATTTGAGACTAAGTTACAGACATAATGCCCCTTTTCAAACTGTGAGGGAATTAAGCTCTAAAGTCCTAGACATCCAAAGCCCTGAAGTTGTAAGAGAATTAGTAAGCCCGTGGGAGAATTGAGAAAATAGTTACTCAGATTTTTTTCTGTAGGGTTTGTCTCTCAGCACCTTGTTTGAGAAAGGTTATCCTAAGTACTCAGTTGTTTATTTTCTAAAAGCAGGCTATTCTGTCACAGTTATCAGAATCAGGGACAGTACTATTGTCAGCTCTCCAGACCATGTTCACATTTAGCCATTTGTCCTACTAATGTTCTTTATAGTAAAAGAAATAAAGTTTTTTGTTTTTTGTTTTCTGGTCCAGGATCCAATCCAGGATCACTCATCGCGTTTAGTTGTTATATCTTAATTATACTAGAAGAGATCCTTAGACTTTGTCTTCCACAACTTTGACATTTTCGAAGAATTTAGGCCATTTATTTGGTAGAATATTCCTTAATTTGGGTTTTCCTCATATTTCTTCTTGATTTGATTCTGGTTATACATTTTTGGCAAGATACAACAGAGGTGATACTCTGTTCTTTTTTTTGCACATAATGTCATTATATCTCATTACTGGGGATAATAACTTTGATCATTTGGTTAAAGTGATTTTTGCCAGGTTTCCATACTGTGAAATTACTCTTTTTCTCTTTGTAATTATTAAACATTTAATGGAGAGATATTTTCAGACTGTGTAAATATCCAGATTCTCATGAAACTTTCATTCAATATATTTTTGCTCGAAACAATTAGATTCTTCGTTTGATTATACAGACGGTGATTTTCTAATTCCATCATTCCTTCTACATTTAGTTGTTGGTTTTCTAATGTTAGAAAAAGCTTTCTTTTTTTTCTTTTTCCCCTTTATTCGTTTATTTATTTTTATAAGTATAGATTCACGGATTCTTATTTTGTTGTGTTACTAATATATTAGTATCATTATTTATTTTGATGCTGTAATTGTTCCAGATATGTACAGTGGGAGCCCCTTTAGCCTGGTTCCTGGGTCCTTTAGAAATGTATTTGTCTTTTTTTTTTTTTTAACAATTTCTTACTTTCTGACATAACAAAAATGTTTTAGGCTCATCGTTGTACTTTCCTAGTTCTGGAATCAGCCATTTCTCTGAGGAACTTTGGTTCCTTTTAGTGATGGTATTTAGAAACTAAAATCTGAGTGCTTGATATGCTCATTACTATATGCCTATATGAGTTGAAATCCCGCAGTTGTATAGGTACACTACTTACAGTGTATACTAGGATTGAACAAATAACTAAATATACTGTGGATAATGGCAGCCAATCCTCACTGTCAGAGAAAGGAGTACCTGTACCACTGTGGGAGAACTGGTGGCGCAGTGATTAAGAACTTGACTCAAACCAAAAGATCAGCAGTTCGAATCCACCAGCCACTCCTTGGAAACTCTGGGGCAGCTCTACTCTGTCCTGTAGGGTCGCTATGAGTTGGAATTGACTTGAACTGCAGGGATTTTTTGTTTTTTGTTTTGTTTTGATACCACTGTGAGAAAAAAACCCTTCAAGTTAAAGTCCAATATTTGTTTATAGTTCTTTTTATCTTTATCTTGAGGTTCTGTA